TTATACTAATTTCCTTTGGTATAGCCATGACCTAATCAACTTCAGTCAGCATTCCCAATGATTGGAGCCCCTATCAATTTTGCGCCACTATCAAAATCTCTGCTGAAGTCAAGGTACACAAAATCACAAACCTTATCACCATTTCCTCAACTATGCAACCTAATCCATGAACATTTAGTAATAAAACTATGCGATTCATGTATCTAGTCACGTTTCTAAAAAAAAAAAAAAAAAAAAAAAAAAAAAGGGGTAGAGAAATGGCACTTGCAATGTTAGATTCTAGTAACTTTCCTCACAATAGACTAACCTAATTGGTCACTAACTTAAGCGTTAAAGTTAACTCAAACTTTTCCTTTAAAACTTGCTATATTAGGAACTTTCCACGACCGGCCTTTACCCGCCATAATTAAATAGGGTAAAAACGGTATATTAAATGCAGTAAAACTACGGTAAATTCAATATGATAAACTTGCATTCTTTAAGCATGGGCTGCATAGTAAGTGAACTAAACTAAATGTTAAGCACCCTGGCAAACCACTTCGTTCTATTCAATTTATTTAATCACTTTGTCCGGTTAGAATTTTTAGATTAGATTAAAGGAACACCCTCCCTGGTAACGGCTGAACTAGTTAACCAAATACAAATATTTAGGTAAAATACTTTCATAAAACCCGTCTACTTCCCCCACCAGTAGACTTGTTCAGCTAAAGGCATAATGTAATGTTCCACTTTAGTAAATAAAGACTTAAAAAAACACTACCCCATCTGTGTAGTTACCGGTTACCTGACATTCTACGCTTAAAATAACCCATCTATTCCCCATAATTGTTCGATATAACTTACCTCTCACCCACTGGTTGAGTACACAGCAGTATACATCCTCCTCCATCACTCACCGCGTGGATACTATTTCATTCTGGCCGCAAATTGCCTCAAATCACCTACGTTGTCCATAAACATATATAGAAGAGCAACTGACCGTAACACCCGTATGGCGATCATCACATAACGTGGGAACATTAGTAGTACTGCTGTCAAAACATAGATGGCGCCAGGACAAACGGTAATTCCTATGGGCTCGCCTAGTTATGCGTAGGGAATTGAGCTTCAGCTGTTTGGTCCCGCCCCTCAGCTGTATTCACCTAGTTGTACTCACCTAATTTGTGCTTGCAGGGGTTGAGCTTTGGTTCTTTGGTCCCGACTCTCAACCGTCAATCAACAGGTGTACAGGTTCCTGAGCCTATTGATCTCTATCACATCTACATTTGAAATTGTGTATGGAGTCAGCCTCCACCACATCACTGCTTAATACATTCCATTTGTTAACTACTCTGACACTGAAAAAATTCTTTCTAATATCTCTGTGGCTCATTTGGGTACTAATTGTTCCCCTTGTTCGTGTTCCACCCGTGTTAAAGAGCTGTCTTTGTAACTATCAAAATGCATATATCTTTGCTTTCACTTCAGTTATATTTATGACAAGAGATTTAAAATTTGCCTATATTTCTGCTTCTCTGATGACATTAAAAACTTTCGTTTATTACAGTATCTACATAAAATTAAAATTTATCTTCATTAGGTTGTAGTTCTCATCAATAGGGAGAGCGTCGGTAAAAAAAAAAAATTGTTTAAATATAAATATCTTTCCTCTCTCAATAATATGCCCGAAACGCTATGCGTACTAGTGACTTTAGGTATTGTATGTACTAGCTCTATCTATAAATCCAATATTATGTTTGTAAATCGACTATTTATGTACTTTCCTGAATAAAATGAACTTTACTAATATCTAATCTCTGTGACTAAAACGTAAGAACGACTTTATCTATGCCTTTTTGATAACATATACAATTATAAGCTTTATTAGTGAATCTCTATTAATTAAACAATATATCAGAGAGTGTGTAAGGTTCGGTGTTCCATGTGCGAAGAGACATGGGAGATTTTACATCAGTACAATAAATGTTTTAAGTAGCGAACGCATACTAACGAATAACGATTAGTATAGACCAACACTATTGTTCTATGAAGTCGATTTAACTTCCAGACATGTATTTTTCAATAAGTCTTAAATATTTTCTGGCTAGTTATGTTAGATATTATTAGAAATACGTATTCTACTTGTTAATATAATAAACTAAATTTGCGATCATTTAAGGAGAGAAGTGCGACGACTGGATCACTGTGTACAGAAGGTTGATATGCCAGCAAACACTTTCCAGACAACAATATATCTTGGATAAGTCGCTCCATAACATTGACACCTGGACCGTTGACTTCCTATGAGGCCACATATTTACTTATTTCATAATGGAAGTATATTATTTTATAGTAAATATATGTTTTCTCGTGTTCTGCATTAAGCACCAACATTATAGTGAATAAATATACCATATTTCTTCATTATTTAAGTAATGCTAGGAGGCTTTGAGTAGCTTTGGGTCATTAGGTGAACAGAATCTCCAATAGATGGGGCGAGAGTCGCGCTATCTCTCGCCCGAGCGAGAGTCGAAACTTATTTTAGAATTGATATATCTTTGTCCTCCAACAAGATATATTTCCTTTGGTGCACTCACAATAACGAGCATATCTCTATCTTTCTGAAGGCATATAATATTTTAGGCTTTATAAGCGTATCTTTGTTAATTACACACTATATTGGCAAGTGCGTAGGCTTCTGCATTCCATGACCGACAAGCTACTGAATGCCACTATAAAAACGTATGTATCTTCACTTGAGCTTTATATATGTCTATGTTAAAGTATTTAAAATGAAGCTTATATTTCTATCTTTCTTGAGACATATAAAACATGTGTGTTTATTAATGAATTTACGTGAAATAAGCATTGTTCTGAGAGAGTTGCTGTCGATCAGTCTGTGCGGGGTCGGAGCTCGGCGATTATTAAAACACATGTATCTTCATTAGAACTTTATATATATCTATGGTAAAGTATTTAAAATGAAGCTTATATTTCTATCTTTCTCAACACATATAAAAACATATGCGTTTATTAACGAATTTACGTCAAATAAGCATTGTTCTGAGAGAGAGTTACTCCGTTGCTCGATCTGTGCGGGATCGGAGCTCGCCGATTAGAAAAATACACGTATCTTCGCTTTAAATACAAATATGCCCATGGTAAGGCATTTAAAATGAAGATTATGTTTCTATCTTTCTTGAGACGTATAAAAATCTTACGTTTATTAACGATTCTGCGTGAAATAAGCATTGTTCTGAGATGAATATTGCGGATTTCCGGCTCTACGACCGATGAAAAATGCAACTTTTATACAACTACAAATATCTTTAGTTTTACTTTAAATTTTGTCCCGAAAGAGTTTTCATATATAGATCCAGTTTCTGCCGTTCTTCTGACATAAAAAGACCTTTGGTTTAATAAGTTATTAAGATGTTTTCAACAATATTACTAGGGCGTTCACCGATTCTAACATGGGCGACCCTTTTGGAAACGCAACACATGGGTTGACCTGATTGATATATGGGTCAGATTCCATTAAGGTTCGGAACATCACCACGCCAGAAATAAATATCTTTGATATCCCCAGGGTCAAACTTAATCTGTGTAAACACTCTATGCAAATTAAGGGACCTAGTCTATGGAACTCACTCCCTAGTGAATTGAAAAACTGTAAAACTTTTGCCTTATTTAAAAGCAAAACCAAAAAGTACCTAACTTCATCTTCTTAGTTTCCTACACTGAGCTTTAAATTTGCTCTGTACCTAGTGTTACCCAATCTCCTAATTTTTATGTAATATCAAACAACCTTATCATTGTGTTCATTGCTGTCTTCTTTTATGTGCTAGCCATATGCTGTATTGTGACTACCAATTTTTGTCAACTACCATTCAAGCTGTCATTGCAATCAATCTTATATTGTTTCTGCTGTATTGTGCTTACCAATTTTTGTCAACTACCATTCAAGCTGTCATTGCAATCAATCTTAGCTACCTATGTGCTTTAATATACTGTACCTACAATTTTCTCTTGTCTTCTTTTTTTCATTTCATGTAACTTATCATTTTTTTGTCTATAAATTTTGCAAGTATTTACCTCCTTAAAATTTTCTTAGATTAAGGACCTGCCCGAAACGCTGCGCGTGCTAGTGGCTTTACAAGACTAGTTACCATATTTGTATCCTCACATTCCTTATGTACATTCTTGTATATGCATAAATAAATAAATAAAGTGCATCACTCTGGTTACATGGGGGGACACTCGTTTTGTATGACGTCCGTTTCACATGACGAACATGGAACGGATTAATTTCGTTATGCGAGGTACCACTGTATAATTATTGTGCAGTACATAATTATTATACAGTACTGCTATTTTTATTTAGCACTGGGCCACAAGGCCAAATTTTATGTGTTCATAGGATGTTCAACACATTTAATGTTATACAATTTTATTGTATCTACACATATACAGTACATTAATTATATACAGCATTATACTCCACATGAAATGGATGTGGATTATAATGATGTGGCATTTGATACCACATAATTATACTCCAATGGCATCAAATGCAACCCGTTCTCGCACTTTCTTAGTCAATATTGGCTTATTAAATACGTGCATCTGTGACATACTAGTTTACCTTGAAAAGCTTCATAGAAAACACCGACCTTACCTAACCACCTTAGTATGTTAAGATAAGCATCTTATTACTCCATAATTACAATTATTACTTAACCTATACCTATAATAGGTTAAGTAATAATTGTAATTACGAGGCAATAAGATGCTTATCTTGACCAACTAAAAAGGTTAGGTACGGTCCGTGTTTTCTATGAAGCTTTTCAATGTAAACTAGTATGTTTAGTATGTCACATACGCACGTATATAATAAGTCAATATTGACTACACGAAAGTGCGAGAACGGGTTGTCAAATGACATGGTCATTTGATGCTAGTGATCAAGAAAGATATCCAGTGTCATGTCACACTAAATATTGGGTGGAGAAGAGGTTATATAGAAGGTAAAGGGAGGTCAACAGTTAGTGATTTAACTGATAAACTACACTTGCATTTTGTTGTGAATACAAATATTTAAGATTAACATTTGTATACAATACCCGATTTACATTACACGTAGCTGCTGTTTAACAATATACAGCATGAGGATGGGTTAGGTGTGATACTCATTTTAAATGGTCCTTCACAACACTAATAGTACAATATAATTCTTACATGTATAATATAAATAATGATTAACAATAATTAAATTTACAATAACATGAGTGAATATACTGTACTTATCTAAAGCAGCATAACATTTGTGATTCATAAATACTTTTATCTACAATTACATTTGTGACTCAGGATGAATTATGTTATTACCTTTTATATTATATACTATATATTGAGACCATCTGTCCAAAATTGAAGGCCATAATAATAATTCTGGAGAAGAGATGCTGGGCTTTAGCCTCGCCCATATTGGCCGAGGAAATGAGACGAACTCAGGCTGGTCGGGGTCGCCAAAATTCAAGAGGCAACAGTGTGCCTGGTTCACTTTCACACCCACATGACAGTTTTTGGCCCTGCCAGAATACATATGAAAATATTTTGATAAGGAATTTTTTTTTCTTACAGAAATACACATTATTCAATGATACTGTGAAAAATAAATTTTCTATTTAATCAATGGCCATATTCCCATAAAAAATTATATTCTGAACCTCCCCCTCCAATAGAAGACTGAAGGCCAACTCAAAATAAAAAAGGGAAACCATTATATTGTGTTCATGTCATTTAATATTATAAAGACTGACACTTGCTCTTATTATGTTATAAGTAATATTGCAGGAGGGTAAACAATGGGGTGAAGATGGATGGACGGGCAAATTGGTGACAGACCTGGGCAATGCTCGGTATTCCCCCCCCCCCCCCTTCATAACACTGACAATCTCAAATGTTTTATTTTTAACAATGCCCATGATAAGATATTATTACTGTTTAATAAACCCCTATAAAAATTTCAAAGTTTTTTAGAAACTTCTACATACATACATTAACCTGTAGACTTCATAGAGCAGCAGACGTGTTCACCAGCAGAGAAGATATATGAACCCATATACTCCACATTTCAATAAAGAAACACAGCAAGCGTCCCATCCCTAATATAACCATTCCTGCAAATACAGACTAATTATATTTAGGCACTAACAAATGTTTATGCAAGTAATTATCAAAAGAAGGCACCAAGCCGGGAAATCTATGTAGCACCATCAGTGTTGCTTGATATTCAAAACGCACTAAATATCACTGAGGATGTCAATATGAGAACAAAAACACACAAGACCAGCAATATCAAAGGTATCAAATTTCCCGAGGATTTTCTAGGGGGACATTAGAAAAGCAAGACATACGATAGTCCTGAAAATTGGAAAATTCCTCTAGGAGATACATACCTAAGTGGATCAATGCAGTTTGGATAGCAAGGAGCAGGGCAGTGTTCCATTAAACTGCCAAGAGTTAAGTGTGCATGGCCAATACATAACCTAGCCAAAGTCATTTCCCAGCATCTATTACAGTAGTAGGAGGAAGGCCAACGTAATATTCTACTTTTTGAGTGTACAGTATGTTACCTGTAACCTCAGACCAGCGGCCTTGGATCTAGGAGTGAAAAACTAGGTAGAAGTCTTAATAAAGAATACCCTCTTTAGAAATAGGGCAAGTGTGGACAGCCTCCTTAGCAGCAGTATCTGTATGTTCATTTAAGATAATACAAATATGGCTGGGAACCCAGCAAAAGAACTGTCTTAAATCTGCTAGAGATAATAAATAGCCAATGTTGAATTTCAACTACCATATGAAGCATAGGATTAAATTACTTCATGGTCATGAGGACAATGCAGGCGTCAACCACAATGACAGGAACGTTGACATCAGCAAAGCAGTTAGAGAAGTGCATAAAGATATAGGTTTGGTCAGGAAAAACAATGGACTGTTTTTGGACTACACTGTCAACAAACTTAGACCCATCTGTGAAGAGGGCAATGGTGCACGAGTGTGAAGAGCATTTTATAAACGTGAGAGGGGGTACATGGCTTTACCATGCGAGGCAAGGTTTTGTAAAATTTTGCAAGTACGACCCTCTTTGGGAGCAAAGATGGAATGACAAGAGAAATATTGGCAACATGAACCAAGAGGGAATCATGCAAATGAGATATCCGTACAGAAAAAGGAAGAGGGTGAAACGCAAGACGGTCCAGATGAGCGGTAACAGTCAAAGCACGGCATAAGCAAGAGTGAGAATGTTGCATGGATCTCACAAGATAGCGAAAACAGTAATGATCATGATGATCCTGCAAAGATAGGACTTGTTTCATCATATTGTACAGGCTCGTGGTATGAAATGAACGAAAGGTGCCAGAGCCGAAGCGTAACCCAGTATGGTGCAGAGCACCAAGACGACGAAGAGTTGGAGGAGAGGCAGACGAGTAAGCAGGACAGCTGTAATTGAATTTACACAGCATGAGAGAGGAATGTGGTCTATCAGCTCCCCAGGAAGTATGGGACAAGATTTTAAGTAAGGTAAAGGCCTTAGAGCATTCAACTTGGAGGCAAGATTTATGAGGTGATCAAGACAAATGAAGTTAAAGATCAACTGCAAAAGTTTAGCAGAATCTTTATAGAGAAGGGGACTTCAAAAGAGCAACAATGGTGGATAAAGAATGACCTGCTTATGAATAAAAGTTGTAGCACGAGTCTTAGTTGTAGAAAACTAAGCCATGATTGGTGGCGCAGGATGGCACATCATCTTGGGCCATGTTACCATCAGTCTCAAGTTTGAATTGTCATTGGAGGAATGTGAATATTTGTAAGGCAAGGTACAGGTATTAGGAACTTCTCATGAAATGTTTCATACAAATTTTAATTATTTACACCTATCTTTACAAATTGTTGCTAACTAGGCTTTTTCCCAGCCATTTCTTATGAGCTGTATATACTAAACTCCTGCATCCTTACACATTCACTATGCCTGTCCATCACCTTGGCCTTTTTTCATTCTTATTACCTTAAATTTACTCACATACTCTCAAATTATTATCCATTCATTCAATGTAAGTGAACCAAACAAATAAAAATTTTTACTAACTAGTGCACATCTTTCCACGACTTTCAGTCCTTAATCTCTTCCTAAAACTATGCTGATGCCACACTAGCCTCTGACATACGTATGGTAGTCAAAAAGAAGACATATTAGACACCACAGCACCTCTGTTGACCCATTTAGGTGCAAACCACTTTCCTCCCATGAATCTCAAGCTTTTATGAAGTTAGCTATACTATTTCCCTCAGTGATGTACCATTAACCACTGTACTCCATGGCTATTTAATGCAACATTTTGTGATGTGTGTAAAATAAAATTATTCCCTATTTTAAATCTCTTTCTAATATTGTTAAAATGCATTCCCTGATCATGGTAAACTCATGATCAGGAAAAGAGTTTACCACGGAAAACCATGGTTTGATCGACTGAAAACCATAAAAACCGTCTTCACCCCAAACTCTCCCTGTCCCTATTCAAATGCTCATTCAACCCTCCCTTCCCTCAACCCATACCCTTCCTGTCCTCCCTACCCTTGACCCCTCACCCCATACCCTCCCTGCCCCCCCCCCCTTCCATTGACCCCTCACCCCATACCCTCCTGCCCCCCCTTCCCTTGACCCCTCACCCCATACCGTCCCTATCCCTTCTTCCCTTGACCCCTCACCCCAAAAGCCTCCGAGGCCCTGTTAACCATCCCACAAATTTTCACACCCATGGGACAACTTCCTCCACCAGCAGGAAACCCACCCAGAGGAAGAGGAAACAAGAATGGACAGAAGAAAGTGAGCTTCAAGGTAATGTACTCAAACAGATGGGATCACAAATAAAACAAGTGAACTTGTGGGCCCAAACTCAGCATGGCATCAACATGCTAGTCAGCTCATGACACCACCTGACTTTGCATAATGCCTCCAATGTAATAACCACATCTCTAACTAGGTACAATGCTGCTATTATCATCCAAATTCTGGTCATTAAATTCTCAATATGAATAATTAACATAGGTTTATTTTCTAGAGAAGCACAAGGTCATTTCATGATGTGCAGATGCACAAAATGGCTAGTACTGTGGCTGTCTGCCTCATGCTGTGAACTTCATAACGAGAATTGTGTTCAATGATATCCAAAACTTGTACACAGTCTTCATCACAGTCAGGATTATCTATGATATTAATAATCATTTAATAATCGCAGTTATATTTATTATATTCAACATTATTAAGTGGTGCTGTGGACCGGAGCTGCACAGTGGTGCTGTGAGCTCCTGCTGCATGAAATCCCCTTTGTCACTCACTCAGTACTGAGGCTCTTACAACCAGGAAGGATGCAGACATTTTTTTTTCCAGATCACGTCTAGTTAATGAAGGCCTGCATGACATGAGCCCCATGTCATGCAGACTTTTCAAGTTTAAATAGTAAATTTATCTTATCTTATTTCAACTGCTTAAATTGTTAGATACTGACCAAATGGCTCCACAAACTTGGGAAGAAACCAAAGGTGGGACCCAAACAAGTCATATTGGTATCCAAAGATCCACACTGGCAACACGTGAAGGCCTGCAATTGCCCAAACACCCAAAGGATTCCGGAAATCTGTGAAAGCAAATGCCAAAGCTCTAAATCCAAAAGGAAGATACTGTACTATAATCTAGATTTTGAAGTTTTAACAATCTATTAACTATGAAACTTCAATACACTATTATTTTATAATATATATACATATACACACACACATGACAATGCAACCATGTTTGCACATTCTGACTAGCAATTACTCTTACTTTTAGCCAATGTACAAGCAACTATTGATGAAATTATTCTTTTTTCTTTGTGCCTGGTAAGAGAATGCTGCCAGTCGGCACCCAAAGAATGATTACACACAAATGATGCCCACTCCACTGCCGACACCATGTACAGCATCTGAAAATGCAAAATATTCTAAACTATCTTGTGTTGGAGGAGCTTCATTTTAAATATTTCACATGTTTGCTGCTGAAATTTACGAAACCTATCTTTCTGATGGGTTTCTTAAAGTTTAAAAATATGTAAGATGAATTATAGAAAAATATTTACAATGTAGAAAACATTTTGATTGAACACTAAAAATTCTGGTTTTGACATTAGAATTTGTCACTTTGTTCTTAATAAGAGATTGAAGAAATGTGATTTACATAACATTTTAATCAAGAGGTATACTACTAGAAGGAACGGTGAGAAAGTACATTTTCAATCAAATCAAGATACAGTATTCTACAAGGTGTACAACTGTTAGCAAAACAATGCAGTTCTAACAGCAAAATGCAGATCTCTGTTCCATTAAATGCCCATCGGTTAACTGTTTGTGGTTAATATGTAACCTAGCCAGAGACATTTGTCTCCTTACTTCCCGTTTCAGAGACAGGAGAAAGACCATGAAGATGGTCACATTTGATAGTACTGTACTGTATAGTGTATAATTTGTTATAACAGCTAACCACTTTTCTCTCCAATAGATCCAGACTATGTTATGAATGACATGACAAATCCAATTAAGAGACTTGCTTCTGGTAGATAGGATAGACACAGATGGACAGCATCTTGATTAGTAGAGTCCGTGAGGTCATTAAAAACACCAAAGTGGCTGGGAACCCAGCAGTATTCCATCGACTTAAACTTAATAGAGATACTGTACAGCTAATGTTGAATCTCTATTAAAACATACAAGGGTTAAAAAGACTAGGGGCCAATGAAGACAATGCTACAGAACAAACGATTGTTAGCACATGAAAGGTGCCGCCACACAGCTACTGTGCTGTGCCTCCACATGGAGGGACTAAACTAATAAATAAATCTTATTATGAACTGTATAGAGAAACTGACAAATTGGAAAGAATGTGAAAATTAAAAAAAAAAAAAATAGCAAAATAAAAGGGGAGCACAAAGTTGAGAACACAAAACACTAAAGGATACTTTAAAATCTGAGTACAGTATGTATGACAGACCATATAATGATGCATACAAAAATACTTTCTCTGATAAACCTATCAGTATCTTTCTCAAAAGAGTCCTCCCATAGGTGACCAAGCCAGCTAAAATGGTCTAAATTAGTACAGTACAATACTTACAGGATGAATATGAGTCCAGAGCAGGCCTCGACTCAGGTTATCAAGTACAACATCAAACTGTGTAGACAAAGTGTGCATTGTAAAGAGATATGTTTATATATTGTAAAGCCACTGTATTACACCCTAGTGAGAGTGACAAAACAAATATATGCTTGAAATATTTTGTATTTAATATCTACAATAAAACCTTCTTTCACTACAGTATATTATTTACCTTTCTTGCAAGAGAAGAGAGAGAACAATTCCTGTTGCCAGGGAGAGGAAGTCTGTACTTATGCTTATTGAGGTTCCCTTCTAGGCCAGCTACTGATCTTTCCGAGCATGCAACCCCACAACATTTGCTTAACTAAGGTACCTATTGACTGCTGGGTGAATGGACATCAGATGAAAGGAACCATTTCTGTCCCACACGGGAAACTGAAGCTGGGTCCTTCGATTATGAGTTGAGGGCATAAACCACTGTACTACAATATAATGTAGGTGTACTGTAGTATACAGTATACTTTATATACAGTATACTTAAATGTGTAATATTCCAATACCCCAATACATACATTTTCCTTATTCCATTTTCAGCTAACCAAGGAGTAACAAACATATTAAACACAAAATATGCTTCATAGATTTTATGCTTACTACAAATGATTCTGATTTTAGCCAAGTATCATCTCAAGTGGTTTTGATGAGAATAGGAAACTGGTGGCTTTTTAAAAAGATCCCACCATTATTTCCGAGGGTTTTTGTTCTTAGTTATAATTTGAACTCGGGTATTGCCTTGGCATTTATTAAGTTGGCAAGCCCATAGGTTTATTACCCTATGAATGAAAAATTTCAGTTTTTCTTCAGTTTTCTGTCCTACATTGCAGCTTATTGAGCTTCAAGCGGTCGCCTATTGTGCAAGTAACAATGTAACCATTTAAAGAGGTTGTCTGAATTAATGTCTTCCAATTTGTTAAGTACTTGTACAGTACAGTATTTTAAAGGCCTCTGCGAGATCAGCCCAGTCGTGTCCGGTTTATAGTGTTGTTAATCCTGAGGCCCTCAACCTTCATTGGAATGCAAGTTAACTTATTTCAGGGATAAACCCTTCCTAAAAATCACTGTTCTGTATACTGTATCCTCTTGAAAATTGTCTCCATGGCTTGGATACAGTGATTGAGATGGGAACACACCAGAGACTTGTACCTCATGAATAACTACTGTACTATATTTTCTTTAACCCCTGGGCTGTGCACTCAAATTTCCATGACATCTCTGTGTGCAAGAATTTTTTTTTTACCTTTTAATTTTTTAAATGCATTCCCTGATCATGGGATAATTAAAGAAAAAAAAAGTTTGACTTGTATTTGCCATTGTGGAACAAGGAAATTTTTGTGTCACAAATCATAAGCGTTCATGAAGCAATTGCCCCGTGGAGGTCGCCCTGGGCCAGGTGTGAGGCAGGAGTTATCAAAAAGCTATTTTTACATATATATTTCAATGTCATTTATTTTTTTCTTTAATATTATTCAATAGTGGTATAGTTTATATGGTACTTATTATGTATATTTAATGCATTACATGTAAAATCTTGGATTTTCATTATATTCATCATCCCAATGCAAGATTTCCATTCCTTGTGTACACTTAACATGTTTAATTTTTGAAAGAAAACTAAAAGCTCCTTTTATAATTTAATTTCTGCAAGTACTCATTAATAAAAATAATTATGAGATTCAAAAATAATTGTATTAAATAACAACATACTAATTACTGTACTAACCCAAGCTCCAAACAGTGAACACTGCCGTAATTTACGAGCCGCATAGCCATCAAAACCATCCAATGCAATAGAGATGGAGTAGTGGACAACAAACGTTGCAGGAGATATTGGCAAGTAGCAGAAGGCAATCAGAAGGAAGAACAAACGTATGTAACCTGCCAATGTTCATTGTCCATTATTAAATAATATACTGTATACCTAACTGTACATTTGGTTCACAAATGCAATCATTAATGGCATAGTGTATTAAAAGAAGAAAATTTAACCCAAAAATGTTATCTATAGTGTCATAAGTGAGCAAATGTTTAATACCAGTATCTTAGCATTTTTTGTGGTTCAGTTAATGAGCAGAATTGTTACAAGCTTCTTTGACACAGGAGAGGTTATGCTGTACTGCAACACTAAATCGGGCTTTGAGCTACAGTATCATATATGAACAGTGCCACAGGAATATCCCATTCTGGTCATAAGTACTTGATTAAGCAAGACAGGAAGGAGTGTCAGTACTGCTTTAACTTCCATTTCACATGACAAGGCAAAGTTCACTATGTGAAGTGTTTGATCGGAGGGCAGAAACTACTAATAACCTACAATTTGAGGTTGATAAAATTATTTTAAACCTTTTCAAGAAACAAGAACAAACACATACTATAATAGCGTGATTTTACAATCAAACAAATATAATGCATACTTACCAATAATATTAGGAATATAGAGCAAAATTTTATAATCTGGTCTCTCTTCATTCCAAACATTCATTTTTGCTACATGTGGGTCATTATCACTTAGTCTCCTTGGTGGTTCAGAGCCGGCCATGATGGTTTTGTACAAAGTCTCACGGGACCTAGAATTATAATGACCCGTGATGAAAGGTTCACAGTGTATGACATTGACATTTGAACAAAGGTACAGTAGTGTAATTCAGGAAAACTTCTGCAAATTGCCTGATTGATTCACAATTAATAAGTAACTTTTTACACTGATTAAAAATCTTCAAAATATTTGTCAGAAAGCCTGTTAGGTTTATCAAGGTCCCCCTCTATGCCTATACCTGACATTGCCTTGGATGAAGCCCACAAGGTACTTATTTACTGCTAAGTTAACAGAGGCATCAGGTAAGATAAGATCATGTTTATTCAGGTAAAAAGTACATACATTCAAAATGAGTTACATAGTGTTGGATTTCTAGATTGTAAGATTTCTAGGTGTAAATGCCCAAACATTTTGCCCTAGTAAGAAACCAATTCAGATGTCTTCCACTCTTATACATGGTTGGGTTGGCAGCCAGAATTGTGTGTTACAGGCGACAGTTACAGTTGTACATTGTTAGCACAGTACTGTGCTAACAATGTACAACACTAGGCTCCAGCTCCTAAGCCCAGCACATGCCTCCAGGGTCACCGCCAGCACTCTCTCAACACTTATGGTGTCTATAGTCAGCTGTGTACTACCGCCTCTACAAGTCTAAGTATACCTCTACCGAGCTCCCATATCATTGCTGACGTTAGGAAACCTGCTTTAAGCTTCCAGAGAACCCTCCCTCACCCTACCCTAGCCACGGGAGAGGCCGTCTGCACTCTCACTCATCCAGTTACTGGCCAGACCTCACGGTACTTAACCCGAGTGACTACACAGGGGTGGAATCTGGTGTAGTCTACACCAGGGAGGAATCTGGTGTAGTCTACACCCATCCTGTTACATAGGGGGCGTGACAGGACTCTCACCTCACGTCCGGGTGTAGAGGGAAGGTTGACACCCGGGTTGGCCAGTGTAAGAGTTGGTGTTGTGTCAGGACGCGTCATGGCCACCTTCCCCGTCATGACTGACTGACCACTGACGGCCGGCCAGAGTTGCCAGCTCCAATTTGCTGAAAGTAGCGAGCTGACGGTCTAAAAGTAGCGAATTTGTAATAAAAGTAACCCAATTTTTTGGGGGGAGAGAATGATACGGGTTTCAAAGTAATATATTTTGATATATAGAGTACACTACACGATGTTAATTGTTTTATTAATATTATTTCTGCACATACACACACACATATATATTATATATTATTATATTATATTATATATTACATGCCCGAAACGCTTTGCGTAATAGTGGCTTTAGGCATTGTATGTACTAGCTATACCTATAAGTTAAACAATCCTTGTAAATATTTATTGTATGTATGTACCTTACCTAAATAAAATTGTATTGTATTGTATTGTATTGTATTGTATTGTATATATATGTATATATATATATATATATATATATGTGTGTGTGTGTGTGTGTATGTGCAGAAATAATATTAATAAAACAATTAATTAAACAAAACTCCACAGATCTCCAGTATCAGTTACAAACCCATTCAAATTTCAACTTAGATTCAACAGAGCAGAAGTTGTTAAACACATATGGCAAAATCTTACTGAAGCGACCATACGAGTCATAAATACTCATACTCCGCCCAAGTAAAACAGAAACAAGCAACACTTAGTGGGCCAGCCAGAGGCTTAGGGCCCGCGCAGGATTATCCCTGCAAAAAAGAAAAAAAAAAGTTGATAATGTTCTCTTGTGCCGACAGATGGCATCAGCTGTATCATTATTATTTGAATAATATTATTACATTAATAATAATGTATTATTATTACCTTAAACACTGATCTATACGTCTGCTGGCTTATAATAAGGTTTTATACCATGCTGGCATTATGTAACTAGAATTCTGCAATTACTTTTTATCTACTGTTGAGGATATGTAAGACAAATGTAAGGTTTTGAGGCTAAGTAACGAAGATAGATTCAAGATACAAGCCAGTGGTGTTGAGATTGCGAAAAGGATTAGATAAGAACTTAAACCAAAAAATCAATGCATAAATGTTTGCAAATATGAGACTGGGATTTATTTCTCGAAAAGTTAGTAATAAAATACGCTTTCTAGTTCTTTATTTTTAAAATTAAGACCAGGGATTCTGTCTAACGAAGCTACAAGCTAAAACACCGATATCCTATAATGTTCATCTGTAGCTTGACCCTAAATACTCGTTTATTAAACGAATTCATTGTTAGAGTTCATTAGGAATCAAGTTTGTTGAAGGCAGAGCGTCCAGCAAATACCTTCCTGTGATTGGCTGTTGCGGGGAATGCCAACGCTTATATGAATAAAATGCAAAATTAGAAATACGTCCTTTTGCTTAACAACTTTGTTGTTGTACAAAAGAACAACAATTTATGTTTTATACAAGACAGAAATTTCCATTTAACTGAATAATGAAGACCAATAAGAGGGCGGAGGCATTGTATCGCCGATATTATTTGTGTAAGGCAACCCCCACTGATGACGTCACAAGTCAGGTAGCCAGCCCATGTTTCTGTAACACTCGTTACATCCGGCAGTATTTAATTATCATTATATTAATGCTTTTAAATAATTAACATTTCACTTTTTAGATAGATTAAAGTTGAAACAGAATGTCATAAGCAAGGATGGTGTGCTAAATAAAGATTATTTATTAAGTGGATGGAGCCTTTAGCTGATCCCTTCCTGTGATTGGCTGTTGTGTGAATGTCAACAAAGAATATCTACCAATGATATGCCATTTATTATGCACCCCATACGACTTGTGGGCGGAGCTAGGAACCTCCTACCCGAGCCCAACAACCCGCCTTATGGGTTGCTGTTTGGCTATTTATAGTGCGTTGGAAAAAAACGAGATGGCGTTAGTGGTATTTTGTGGGGTAATTTGTTATAAGTGTAATTTGATGTCAACAGATGGCGTAAGCTGTATCTTATGGTCACTGTTGACCAGCCAGTTAATAGTGTTCTCTTTTGCCGACAGATGGCATCAGCTGTATCATTATTACTTCCGAATTCCCTTTTAAATACTGATCTACAAATCCCGTAGCTTATGATAGGCTTTTATATAGTTTGTGATAAGGATTAGGTAACTGGAGTTCTGCAATTACTTCTATTTATCAACTGTTCAGGATATCATCGTATAAAGTGATTGATTGATGAAGATTAAGCCACCCAAAAGGTGGCACGGGCATGAATACCCCGTAAGTGGTGGCCCTTTTGAGCCATTACCAGTATCAATAGATGATACTGGAGATCTGTGGAGGTGCGACTGCACCCTGCGTGACGGAAGATGTCTTCCGTGATTTAAACAGATTGAATTGATTGATGAAGATTAAGCCACCCAAGAGGTGGCACGGGCATGAATAGCCTGTAAGTGGTGGCCCTTTTGAGCCATTACCAATATCAAGAGATGATACTGCTTAAGAGATCTGTGGAGGCGCGACTGCACCCTGCGTGACGGGAGATGTCTCCCGGACCAAGTGGTGACCAGATGGATCGTATAGTCTGGATAGGATGTATTTATTGCTCTCGATTGATGAAGATTAAGCCACCCAAGAGGTGGCACGGGCATGAAAAACCCGTAAATACTGCTCTCGTAATATTATTCTGGGGGGAGGGGGAACTATCAAGTGAAAGCGCCAAGCCCTTACGACTATATAGCACTGGGAAGGGATCAGGATACAGATTTGGGATGGAACGGGGGAAAAGAATGGTGCTCAACCTCTTGGGCGGTCGGGGATTGAACGCGGACCTGTAGGAAACGAGACCGTAGCTCTACCGTCCAGCCCAAGTGGTTAAGCGTAATATTATTAAAACAACAATTTATGCATATAATAACAGCATTTCACATTAAAAATACTTGGATATATTGAAATTTGGTAGTGAATTCCAATCTAGGAATCTCTTATGACTAAACTGTACTTCTTAATCATTTTTATGTACTTACTACTTATTATTAAATTATTAAGTACTTACTATAATAATTAAATAAATTATTTTATTTAATATTTAAATTAAATGATAAAATAATAGGTAATAATAAATCATTGTGTAGGGGGACAGGCAGCCAGTGTATATATACATGTTAGGCTTATACCAAGGTCTCACAAAGGTGCCAAATTAAAGACTGAGTGCTGCCGGGGCGGGCCCAAGGGCTGCTGGCTGCCCTGGCCAGGCTGAACTTCCGCGCCCTTATAATCACCATTGTTTAATAATCTTCACAGGGAAAAACAACTGTAAATATAGGAATAGTTTATTACAACATACACGGTGAAGAAAACAGCTCGGAAACTAAGGAAATAAAACTGCCGAAAAAACATTAAAGTCCACTTCAAGTTCAAGAAATTCAAGAAAGTTCGAAGAAATTGAAATTTGAAAATGTAATAAGTTATTACGAAACGCGTTCAAACGTCTCGTTAGACTAGAAATAAAAATGAATTTTGGAGAACTGATTTTTCAATTACTATCGACAGTAAAAAGAAACATAAGAAATATTGAAAAAATTCGTGTTAGATTTATTAATCTTACTTTTTCGGTGATATTTAACAACACATGTTTACAAGAAAGATTGCTACCAAGATATATATATATATATATATATATATATATATATATATATATATATATATATATATATATATATATATAAAATATGTGTGTGTGTGTGTGTGTGCATGTGCAGAAATAATATTAATAAAACAATTAACATCGTGTAGTGTACTCTATATATCAAAATATATTACTTTGAAACACATATCATTCACAAAAAAAATTGGGCTACTCTTATTACAAATTCGCTACTTTTAGACTGTCAGCTCGCTACTTTCAGCAATTTAGATCTGGCAACCGTGCCTGGGAACACAAAGTGGCAAGTAGCACGGACTATGGTGAGCCCGTAGTGGACTTACCTGGAACAGGAGCGGGGGATTCTATTCTATTACTTTATTACATTTGTTTTAACCAAATATGCATTGCAGATATCGAATATTTTCCTTAAAAACAATGCCCGAATTAAACCATAATTAATTCAGTAAATATTCTATTTAATATTTAAATAAATACTGAAATATTTATAAAGTAAATAATTCGGTAAATATTCAGTTAGCAGATTTCACAGTTTAAAGCAAATAACGCTATTCAATACATGGCAAACTTAATAACATAACATATAAATAACACTTTATTTAGAAAAAGTACATACATAGATGCAGTTACAAACATACTGTTGGAGTTATAGATAGAGCTGGTACATACAATACCTAAAGCCACTAATACGCATAGCGTTTCGGGCAGAAACTTGTGTTAATGCTACACCATGGAGGGTCATGTTATTGTTAATGTTGTTGTTGTGGTAGAGGCGGCTAGAGGACCGGCCACATATACAAGTACACATGAGTTACAAAATTCAATACACATCGTCAAGTTAACAATGGGCTCCAAACTACTTATGGTCGGTCTCGAGCCCATTGTTAATGTGACGATGTGTGTTGAATTTTGTAACTAGCTCATGAAGATTGTAACTTGTTTATCTAAATGAATTGTGGGGTTCAGTCCCTGAGCCCATTATGTGCCTCTGCAACCCTTTCTACTACCGCCCACATGATGAGTATGGGGTGCATAATAAATGAAATAAACTAACCGTATACACCCGCGACGCCCCCCATGAGCCGTCGCGGTTTATAATCTGAATATTCTGGTAGTGGCTCAGCCTCACTAACCTGCCAGATGTGTCTATAGCCAAGGCGAATTCGTGCAATGACTACATCACATTGCCTGGTCCGGTTACTGTGCTGACCATACAAATACCTATTATTACAAAACTTGTCATAGCTTTTAATACTGCTGGGCATTTCTTAGTTCTTCTAAATCTGAATTAATTTCTTTAATTTGTATGTTTCTAATAATTGCCTTAGATAGTCCAAAGTCATAATCAATGTTTTCTTTCCGGCAAGCCTCATTGTAAAGTATGTGTCAAAATACGACACTCCATTAGGAGGACGGGTTGGCGGAGCTTGCCA